GAGAGCGGCGAGCCCGTAGTACAAATACATGACTATATGGACCAGGGAGTTGATCAGACCAATCAGAAAAGCTGCACACAAATACACAAGATGGGTAATTTGCAGAGTTGGGTAGTAACTGTTTAACATTTATTCAGGATGTTCTGTGATGTACAGTTACTTTTAAGTAATTTTCTCATGAAGTATCGCTACTCTTACTTTAGTAAAAGTTCTGGATTGTCTACCCACTGAATGAAGAGCGAATGAGTTTGAATTAAAAAAAAAAACACCAGGCACAGAGACACACCTGCAGCTTTTGTTAAAATTTCATAAATTTTATATTGAAAGAAACTGATTTGGAAAAAAATTAACTTTTTGTCTGATTTTGGGTTTTTTTTTGTTACTTAAATGAAATATTGTCATTTTGGTCCTTAAAATACATAAATTTCCACTTAACTTGATATTCTGGTCCTTCTGACAAAGTCATTTTAAAACATTAAACGACTAATGATTTTATCAATTTTTACGAAATACTTTTTTCTAACTCTTACTTGAGTGATTTCTTGATCGGCTACTGTTTACGTTTCCTTGAGAGAAAGTAAGCTGAAGTAGTGCTAATCTCGCTTGACTACAGTTTGTGGGAACTCTGACCGCCTCTGTTTGTTCATCGTCGTCTTATTCACGGTGCAGCCCTTGTGGATTCTGCCGACACACAGCGAAACGTACTCACACTGACCCCCTGCTACGTATTTGACCCCGGCCCACCAGTTGAAGATCATGGTCGCATGGTGATAGACGTGGAGGAATGTCAGCTGACTGTTCTTCTTCCGCAGGATGAAAAATATCTGCACAACACAAACACAATAAATGTGGCTAGAACAAAATTATGCAGCATCATTTTGTAGTGAGTCATACAAGGGTCTCCTAACTTATGCTTATGGATGTTTTTTTTTATTCTAAAAAGAAACACTTTGTCTTCATCGAACTGATTCTAAAGTAAAGAATCTGACTGAACTACATGAAGCCTAACAAACAGATTTGATGCGCTTTTATGTTTTGACCAGTGGAGGGCAGTCTTTCTTTAGCTTGATCTTGTCAAAACAATACACCAAATGAAACCCTGTGTTAAAATGTCCAGAAGAAGCACCGGCTTATGTTAGAGTTATATAACCCAGTGCAGGTGTGTACTCACAGTGTCACTGAGCTCTACGACTTTAGAGAAGTAAAACCACCAGCAAACTCTGGCCATCTGTCCAACACAACACAACGAGACATTGACACTTATTAAGCCGTTCAATCCCATAAATTAAAGGAAAAAAAAAATCTAATTTCATTCAAATTCGAAAATACTTTACTGGTCACAAAGGGAAATTAATTGTTCAATTCAAATTCTTCAAAGAGTTATTGTAAAATCTGAAAGATCAGAAAAAATGTGAAAGATTAGAATTCATCTTTGGTTAATTGTAGATCACTATGAGGCCCGTACCGACATTTGAACTACAGAAAGTGCATTGCCTAGTAAAAAAAATAGCTATACTGTTAGAGGCTAACATGTCAGGGCATATAAAAAATATATGTCGTATATATTTTGCTGCCAGCTGTTACTGTGGCTGGCAAATTCCAACTTTTGCAAAAAAAAAAACAAAACAAAAAAAACAGACTTTGTCAGATTCAGTGTTCCCAAATGTTCAGTCTTTTCTAAAATACTAGAGTTCATTTTGCATGATACTCGAAAACGAGACTGTAACGCAAAAAAGTCCAAAGTTCAAAATATCATGAAAAAGAACAAAACTGAATAAATCCAAAAGTGAACCAGGAGGGCAAAATGAAACGGGGCGCCCTTACAGCAGGATGAAGGAATGTTGAACAGGTTAGCAATGAGGAGATGAACGAGTGAAGGACAATGGAAACCAGAAAGCTTATATACTGAGGGAAGAGTGGAAAATGACAGTGGATGTAGGCAAATCAATCACTGGAAGAGAGCAAACAGGCCGACTGAGTTACGGCGAATAACACAAACAATGAAAAACCTAAGACTCAGTGAAGCAAGGCTAAAAGAAAAGACACAGAAGGAAGTAAGGAAGGAAAGAAGAAACACCATCCTTAAATTATTAAACTACAAATAATATATATATATTATATTTACCCGTAGAGCCAATGGATTGTCGCTGTAGTCGACTGGCTGGCACAACAAACTGTAACCGGCCAACCAAGATGATGCTGTGAACTAGAAATGTGGAAAAAAATTGCATTTAAATAATTGAGTTGTGCTGGTGATACCTTAACTTTACACGTCAACAACTTCCTGTCGGTTCTTTTATCACTAAAACCAGCGGAAGCCCTAAACTAAATATATACATATATATAAATATATTTTCACAAAATATATTAGTGGCGTTGACTTCCCTTGCTTGTGTCCAGTTTACCTCATAGAACATGTAAGCAGACAGGCAGACCATGGCACCATTGTAAACAACCAGGACGGGTTTGAGGTTGACGGGCCGCCTGTCCGCCATCAGCTTTGGCCCCGCCCATATAGCAATCAGGTAGCACAGGAATATACAAGTAATTGGCACAGGCGAGTAGACCAGCAGCCAATCGTCTGTCCTTTTGTCTGTTCAGTGAAATATGAGAGGAAAGGTACAGCACAAAATACTGCCAAACTATGCAAGGTTCTGTACGGTAATGAGCTGAAAAATAAAAATCTCACCTCCATTTTCCAGAATGCCTTGGTAGAATAATTGGAGTTTCTGCCACTTGGTGACAGCATTGCTACCCTGAGATGGACACATGAGCAAAATGCAGTTTTTCCCCCCTTTTCTTAATTGCCATACCTAACTTAAGAGCTTGAACTGAAGAAGGCAAACTTGAGAAATAGCTCGAAAGATACAATTTCTCAATGGCGGACATGGAAACAAAATAATCCACATCCTAGAAGTTACAGGCTTCGTTACAGAGTGAATTTGTAGGGACTCTTTGATAAATGGTGGCCTCTAGAGCCGCGTAGAACCAGGGTTTAGGTGGGACGATCCAATGAAAGGACAGCCAATGGTCCACAAATCTTACCTTTTGGTTTTGTAACGAAGGTGCTCTAAGAAAACGTTTTCGCCCAAAATGCTTTGAGCGACGCAAAACCCTGAACACAGCATCCCCACTGACTGCAACTTAACAGTTTTTTGCTGAACCTTTTAAACCAATCACTTTACTGATCAAAGTGATTTCTGTAACTGCCAAAGAGACTTCTGCGCCCGTCCACAGGCATGCTGTGATTTCCGTGTGTGTGCATCTTAGACGTTTCTAGGATCATGTTAGTTTTGGGTCGACGCATTCCATTTACCTCCCACGCTTAGCAGGACCTGTGATCTCTTCAAAGTTCAGGTTTTATCTTTGACGACAAGAGACGTAAGCCCCGACGTGTTCACATGTCGAACCCCGATCAACGGCTTTGTCAAAGAAAGAAACCTCCCACTGCAAACTTGATTGAACCACCTAGTGATGAGCTGGGTTTTTATGATGAGGATTATGTTGGTTAATCTCCTGATGATGGATAATAACTAATAATCCTCTTTATGAAGGACTGCCTCCTGTTGAAGACAGGCGGTATAACGGTGCTGCCATCTAGTGTCTGTAAGCAAACCTCAAATTCACAGTCCTTCAAATTGTATTTATTTTTTCGTTGTTCTGTACCTACATTTGTTTCTTTTTTGAGTTGTTTTGCTTTTCGAGATTCTATATCTGAATTTCAGACAGTTTAAAGACCTCTCTTTTTCTACCATGCATAATTTAGCCACCTGTGACAATAAACTCATCCCCAGAGTAGTAGGTGTTTTGCTTAATGTAATGAGAATATGCCGCTAAACCCAGATGATTGCATAGACTTTATTTAAAAATATATAATAAATACAGCTTTTTTTCTGGCATTAAAACAGACTAATCATCACAAGTTTTGAATCATTTCAGGTTACCCAAAACATTTTTACCATCTAAATTCTAGAATGTTTTGAAAAAGAATTATGGTTTCTTTACAGCTTTTTGAATTCTGCACTATTTGGTTTCTGCCCCCCCCAAGTTCAGTAGTTTTTGGCGTCTTTCCACCAATTTCTCAAAGTTTTTCTGTCAGAACTGGTGTAACAGAGTCAGGTTTCTCTCTGTGGATGCTTCACACTCCAGCTTCTGGTGAAAATTGAAATCTGGCTCCTGTTGTTTCTTTTTGAGTAATGTCCTCTTCTTTTCCATTTCATTTTTGAAATATACAATGTATTTAGATATTGGCTTCAACTGCATCTTTCTCTGTCAATCCGATAAGCTTAGAAAATAGGAGTGGAAAATATGGTGCGTTTTTTTCTGTTCGCCACAGCTGAAAGTGACTTGCAGCAGTATTACAGAACATGCTGTTTAGTGGAAGCTAAGCGGTTAAGCCTCACCTGTAACCTCCCAAGGATTTATGGGGAAAAAAATAAATAAAATCCCTCCCAGGATCAGAATCCCTGAAACCGACTTCAGCTTTATTTAGAATATTATAAATGGATACACTAACGTTCTAGACATTGATGCAGAAAAGTTGAGCAGTCACTCCGACCCGCCCTGCGCCAGATAATACATGGACTCCTAATGCACTGATGGGGGAAAGACCTGCAAGCAGTTTCTGCCAGTTCTACGTCAACAGCTATTAAATAAAGCAATCAGCAATATATATACATACATATATAAATATATATATACATACATACATCTCTGAAATTGTTATTTACCGTCATTTCGATGGTCTCAGTGCGTTTTCTGCGCAGTGTTGCATCTCAGCCAAGACTTAAGCTGCTCTGAGGTAATCGACCCGTCTCCGCTGTGTGTGTGTGTGTGTGTGTGTTTTTGGCTTGGCATATGGCTCACCAGCTAAATCCATCTTATAAGTGTTGGGATGTACAAAATTTTGCAAGTGGGGGAATAATGTGCCATTAAATCACTATTAAGAAATTCTGTTTTTTTTACAGTATTTATTTAAGGTACAAAAAATAATCTGTAAATGGATTCTGAGTTTGTTTTTATTAATTACACAGAAATGCGTTATTACAGGAAATTTTCTGAGTTATTGCAGCTTATGTTACGAAGCAACAGTTTCTAATTACTCAATCCGCCTTAATCTGGAGAAAAACAAAAGTTTAATTTATAAAGAGAAATTGTAAGAGAAAATTACAAGTGCACAAGACACAGCATCAAAAATAAGTCACTAAGTCTCATGTGTAAGATGTAATTCCTGTTCTCTGAACATGGTAATCCTCACATCTTCTCAAGCAGAAAGCAAATCGGGACGAATCAGCTTTAAAAAGACAATCTGGCTGAGCAGCGTCGTTGGACCTTGTTATTTGCTTCTGTCTGGATACGGTAGCGGTCAGAGTCCCTCCTTTCTCTCCCCCTGGTCATCTGTCCACAGCCCCCTGCAGGCAGGCTTTACACTCTGGACTTCATTAACGGGAGAACTTGGGAGAGTCCTGGCTACTGTTTTCCAAAAACGGCAGCAGCAAGTTGCACTTTTTAAAGCGGGTTCGACATTGTACAGTGAGGCGGGATGTATAAACGTTTCAGAAAAATAAAATAAAAACGGACTTCGATTGTAAAAAAAAAAAAAAAAAAAAAAAAACGACAAAAAAACCTTGAAAACCTACAAGTAAATCGCCACTACAATTTACTTGTAGTGGCGATGCTGGTGGGTAAAGTGCCGATCATACGTATCTGAATGTATTTTGGACCTATCTTGGTCCTGGGACTTATGTTGAGGAGCGGGGCTGATGATGGAAGAAGCTGGACTGATGGTGATGGTGGTGGTGGTGGAAGGTCGGCTCAGGCTCTTCTGTGGGTTCGACCCCTTCGTCCGGTGGCTTGACGGTTCCCCGAGTTGTGGAAATGGCCTGCGAAAGATAAACGAGTTGGTTTCATATTGTTGCTAATTGGCGTCTTTAAATTTTGAATATAAACAATGAATGGACAACAAATAAATAGATTTAAGGCAAAGCGACACCAACATCAGGTAGATAATTTGCAATCTGCTTACACCCTAAGTGATGATTGGCTCTATTTGATGTCTGGCAAGAAATTTTTTTTTTTTAAAAAGTAAAATTAGACAGATGCCTTGTTGAAGAGTGTTGTGATAAATATTTCATATACTCCTTACAGCATATGAAAATTATTCCAGCCCTTTATGGTTACTCAAATGCAACATGTTCTGTCCTAAAAATGTGAAAAATCTTTTTGTTTTGTTTGCAGACGTCAAAAAGTAGATGATAATTGTGAGATGAAGAAAAAATATGTAAAAGAAAGAAAGAAAAGTGATTATAATCTATAAAAATCCTCAAAAATGTACTGTGCATTTGTATTAAGTCTCTACATTTGATTGGACCAACAACTATTTCGACCAGCCCTGCATACTAGATTTTTGTCAAATTACCTCAATATCTCGTACATGAAAAAACATATGTTGAAAGAAATTGTTTTTTCAAGGGTATCAGAATAAAGTGGGGAAAAGCACAAATTCTTTGGGTTTGTTTTTGAAAAAAAAAAAAAAAAAAGTGAAACTAAGGATACTTTATGTTGCTCTATCACACCAAACCTCCTCAAAACAGGTTGAAATTTGATGGAATGTAGCTGACTTTTTGTTTATTTTATTTTTCACCTCTAAAACAATATTGCTTAAAAAAAACTGTACTTCAAAAAAGAACCATCACAAGCAATCAACTTGAACATTTGAGTGGTTCTTTTTCCCGCCCGTTTGGGTTGCGCCTCCTCAAAAGTCGGGTCACTCACAGAGCAGTTACAGATGCCTCCCAGGGAGGTGGCTCTGATCGCGGCCTCGACATACGGGGTGTGCAGGAAACTGTACGGCAGCACAACGTGGAAAGTGAGGAAGCCACACCTGAAGACATGGAGGAAAAGAAAAACGGCGTTCTTGGAGCGACTTCCAGTTTAGCGCTTCGATCGGCGACGGAGGCGTCTTTTTACCTGTCGTAGATCAGGAAGTCGTCTTTGTCGCCGTCCAGCACCTCCCACACGTCTGTCTGATCAGCCGCCTGCTGATACACTGGGACACCAGTGGGAGCTCTTTTCTTCAGCTCCCAGTACAGGGCTCTGGACGCCGCATTTTGCTCATTGACAATCACGAAGGACACGTCGGTTATATTGCTGTGCCTCAGTTTGGTGCGCAGGCGTCCGATGCTGCAAATATTGAGACGAGTGAAGAAATAGAGCGGAGATTGTGTGTTTTTAAGAATTTAAACTGGGGACACATGATGTATCGCACCAACATCGGTGCGATATATCAAATAAAACTGGGCTGATATTAAAAATGTACATTTATTTCTATCTTGTTGCAGTCTGTTCCTTATAGTTTATTTCCCCCAAAGGTGTCAAAACACCAGAAACATATGCATAATATTGGCAAATATTAGTTATCAGCCATAACAGTGAGTTTGATATCAGATATATCAGTTCATCCTTTTTGATTTGTATATTTCAAGAAATAAAAAGGTCTACTAGTGCCACTGCATCAACTTATTTTCATGAAAAGAATCTGAAGTCTAATTATTTGCTGAGATGCAGCCCTGTTAATACACAAGTACCGCCGCATCACATTCATATTTATTATCCCTGCTTCATAAACAGAGTCAAATTAAAAGTTGGAATTTCTTTTTAAAATGAGAGAAATAAATAATAATAACAATAAAAGCTTTTAAATATCCGTTTACCATCAGTTTTAATCAGAGTAGTGATCTGTGTCAAACTGTTGCAAAACTACACAGGGGGATCAGAATTCACCGTCGAGTTTGATTCGGACACTTGTTGCTTTTCTCACTCACCGGGACGCCTGGAGGAGACAGAAGTGTCAGCTGGCCTTTAGCAGAGCCACCACCACCACGTTTCCCAGCAGCTCCTGCGCCGGCGAGCGGCCCTTTATCGCCCAGTGCGGGGCGGGCTTGCAGATCCTGGAGGCGTTTTTGTCGCCCTCCACCAGCAGAGTGGAGTGGGAGGAGGCCTGCAGCACAGCCAGCAGGGCCGCACTCTGACACAGCACCAGCAGAGAGCGCATCGTCACCCCTATGCCCACAAAAAGACACCTTATGAAATCATCTGGATCACCCACAAATCTGCAGCCTCCTCTTCTCTAACGTCAGAATGCTACACATTGTGCTAGTGATGACTCGATTTTACAAGAAGGGCGTGTTTTTATTTTTTTAACGGTTTTGTGGTAGAAAAATTGTACGCGAGTATTGTTACAATCTATCTGAGACTGATAATAGAATAGAAAAACAAAAAAACGGTCAGTCTGGTCTCACACAAATGAAATAATAAAAAAGATCCTTGTTTCTGTCCACTTGACAGAAGGTAACTGCAAAAATGACAGCCGGTTTTTCCGAGTACACGGACTAAAGGAGAAGGAATTTCAGAGCAACAAGTTGACAGGGCAACACTGAGCTAACAGAGAGATGCTAACCCTCGGATGCTAACCACTTTTTACCGCTTTTATTTTCGCACATTTATTTTTACTCCTGCAATTACCCAACACTTGCATTTTAATGCTGGAAATAAATAAAACACAGCCAAGTTTCTGTTCACTTTTTATCTTTTAAGTAGTATAAGTGGAAATTGGGTGAAACTGCTAGCTTAATGATTTGGGTCATCCAAAAACCGGTAAAAAAAAAAAAAAAAAGGGAGGCAGTTTTGACCTTTTCTTTGGTTGACATTTACGTAAAACAACGAACAAACAAAATAAATATGTACATCTCGTTTTACTTCGCGAGGATAAGAATAGAGAACACTTTGAGGAGCGAGGGGAAAGTTTTACCTCTGTCCGCCGCGCCTCCTGCAGCTCTGACTGGCACGCGGCAAAACCTCTGACGTATAAAAAGCTCAACGCTCCGCCCACTTTACGCAGAGGGACGCCGACCGAGCCAAAGGATTTGACGCTCAAAGTACGCACGAGCAAGGTCATGCTGCGAAGAGCATATTCAAGACTAACATCCTCGCAAACCTAGACGAAAGTCTTAAACCTATGTTTTGCTTCGTGTGACTGAATGGATTTATTACCAGCTTTCCTTTTGAACTTTTCTGTTCTCTTAAGTTTAAATGCCAAAAAGACCGAAGTATGCTAGCCATTAGACAATTCCTGTTACATGTGATTATTTTTTTTAAACCTAGAAATTGCTCACAATAGTCTTGTCAAACCTGTTGTTAAAGTACATTGCTTTACTAACAAACCTGCAGAACAAATATCTTATCTTGCACGTGAAGGATTTGCTCAAAGTCCATATTGACAAAAAACACACACAAAAAAGTGCGTCAATTAAGGGCTGTTAGGCAACTGGCTGAAGTTTAGGTTCCTGTACAAAAGGAGAGTACCAGCGAAATAATATAACGTTTACTTCAAACATGACAAGGACCAAGCTTGAAGAACATCTGCAAATGTTATGCTGTCAGGAATTTGAATTTCCATTTACCTTTCACGTGATGACTTTCATAAGGCTGTAGGAGCGATAAAAACACTTAAAGCGGTGTCAAAATGTCGGTGTACATTAACTTCAATTTCAGTTAATCCCAAACATCGTTTTTTTTTTTTTAATTGAAACCAAGGGGTGCCCAGGTCCAGTCTTGGAGAGTTGCGGTCCTGCGATGTTTATGCTGCGTTCCAGTTGTACTCGGAAATGGGAAATCTAATCTGAACAAATTAAAAGTATTGTTTACGTCTGGAAGGCAGCGTAAAATTATGTTTGTACTGAAAACAATTTCTATGGGCGTCGCTAGATTGAAACTTTCTTTATTTTTTTTTATAAAAAAAAATAAAGCATAGAACGCCGTTATCTTCGGTCGGGTATCAAAAACCAGAGAGAAGCTCCAATTTCTGAGGTGAATGGAACGCAACATTAAATGCGCTCCAACTCCGACACACCTGAATCAAATGAACTGCTCGCTACCAGGTCTATGTAACGCTGAAAGACCGGTGCACACTCCCTTCCAGTAGGTGGCAGTAACGCACATCTGAACGTTGCATAAAAAGAAGAAAAATGGCCGATAATGTGGGAACTGAGCTGTTTTATTGGACTTGACTTCGGCACCCATGATCTAAACAAAATAAGAGAAAATAAAATAAAGGAAACAATAATAAAAAAGGCAATAAAATATCCATATTCTGTTGATTTAGTATACATATTTGAATAGGTTTGGGATGAGGTGAACACTTTGTTAATCCCAATCCCTTCCCTATAACGCAGGACTAATTCTATCATGCAATGTTCAACATAAAATCTGATTAATCAATAGCTAAGTGTCTACATTCTACACAGCGTTTTTAAGGATTTAAAGAGAGATCAGGTGTAAATATTGAATTTAGTCTGACTGTAAAGTGCATTACTGAAAACTGGAGGATATTTTGATTTGTTAAACTGGACAAACCAAATGTTTTTTTGTGTGTAATTGACAAGTTTTCTTTGAGAACTACTGTTACTAAAATCCACAAAATATGCTGAAATATGCTGAGCAGATCACCAAACTTTTTTTTTTGAAGGTTGCCTCATTCATCTCTTTTGTTCCTAATAAAAAGGTTATCTTACCCCAAATGTGCAGCATCTTTATCTGTTTGGATTACACTTAATTCTTTTAAATGTATAGAACAAGGCCAGTGAAAGACTCAGCTGTGTCACAGTTGACGGTAAAAACAAGCAGCAATTTCACAAAGCTATGTGCAAAGAGGTCTTTTTTAACAAACGTCACTCACATTTACATGATGCATACGAATGAGCTATATTGTGCACATGCTCGTCACACGTCCAGGCTACCATAACATGCCAGCATCACAGCAGGAAGCAGCAGAACGTGAATCCAGGCTACGTGTAACCCGGTGCATTAAGCATCACCTGAGTGGACGTAAAATGTGGGTACAGCCAGGTGACCTGAAGGCCAGAAAACTTTAAAACCAGTGCCGCAAAACTTTTCTAAATTACGGGCAGTGTAATCTCTCAACTTCTCCATCTACAACAGTTCAGAATCAGTGTAAGTAACTGGGATCAGGATAAAACTCCCATCAGTTCTTCCTCATCATTGTCCCCGACCCCTTCTGTAGGACTGTTGCACGTGGCCATAAGCCCCAGGCCGAGCTCTGCCAGCTCCTCACAGCTCATGTCAGTCGTCACCATGATCTTCGTCTCCAGACGGTTGCACAGAGTCCTGTACGAGGGCAGAGGGTACCCGATCTCCCTCAGGTACTCGTAGCCTTTTGTTCCGACGGCACACCGGATCTTTCTGGCTTTCAGGATCGTCTCCGGCGACCAGACGGCGCGCCGCGAGCGCTTCGTGAGGGACAGCGCTCTGATTTGGTCCTCGTACAGAAAGTTCTGGAGCCCCTTCTCAATGCGATCGAGCCGATACAGACGCTTCTTCATCTCTTCTGCCTGGACAAGAAGAAAAGGGCTCACTGGATTTATTCAGTCCTGCAGCGACTCAATTTTGATTTTGGTCTTTAAATAAGATGTCTCCTACCTCTCTTTGTAGTCTTGCGGTGTGCTGCATCTCCTGCTCCAGTTTTTTCTTGAGGAGATGACACTGCATGCAGGGGTTGTGGTCTTCAGATGTTCTTTCTCCATCCTCCTCTTCAAGGCCAGACAAAGGATTGCGTCTGGCGTAGCCATGATCGCCCAAATTTAGATCCTTTTCCACTAGAATCACAAGAAAACGTCCAAGTAGAAGAGCAGTGCTGTGATCTAACGCATTTGAAATGCCATCGACCAAGTAGAGTGGTTGCCTGATGTCTCCTTAAGCAACTTCAGAAGCTTCTCCTTTAATATACTCATAAGGTTTTTGGTGTATTTTTGTGCCTCACTATGAAAAGAGCAATAACAATTTCACCACAACTGAATAAGATATAATACTTGATCAAATATCATACAAACTTATTAGCAGTTCTGTCAGACAAAACTGCTAAATATACATTATTTTCTTAAACACTGGGGACACATTTCGTTTCTAATGATTTATTTCAAAATAGGTCATGTGCCATTTGGTACATGAAGTTGCACAAAACCAGTGATAATAATTGTTTTTGGGTGCCTCAAGTTTCAAAAACAAAAGTTGCTTTTTTTTCCTGACCTAATTTCCAAACAACTATTTGGCATGTAGAGGCAAAGTCTAATGGTTACTATGGAGACCCCACCCCCAGGATTGCCAAAGGTATCCAACAGTGACCTTTGAAGTTTATTTCTTCCACCCTGACCATTCTGATCACTGAGAGGATTTACTATGTTATTACTAATATTATAAAACTACCCCACAGAAACAGTATTGGATTTACATTTAATCAATAAAAATATGATCTTAGTCGAAGGCCACAAACAATCAGGCTCTGATGTCTCCTCCACTTTGCTAACCCATCCTCTGGAACGACCTCTCAGAAACCCACTATTGCTAACAATTGCATTACTACATTAACAATATGCTCTACATTTCATGTATTAAGAATTTTTCTGTAAGTGTCCTGGAAGATGTCTCTAAATAAAATTCTTTTTTTTATTTTTATTTTTTGCAATAAATGGATCTATTGTAAGCTAAGTGGCCAAGAAATGAAAAATCAGCTTGAATTAAAATAATTCTGAAAGTGTGATAAGTCAGAGTGAACCTGAGGTCGTTTTTTTTGCTATATTATTCAATTTTCCAAGACATAGACAGTAATTCATTTAGAAAAGTACCTGCTTCAGATTTTAGTGGCAGCAGGATATATGGAGAGGTGATTGCAGGGAAAGGAGGGTCTCCCACATTGAACAGAGTGGGAATAGCATTGGGCTTCAGCTTTTTCCCACCAGCTGGAGACCTGGCTATTTCTTCAAACTGGCTCTCCTCAAAGTGGTCCTTGCGAAAAGACATATCGATAACAGTGTAAAACATGCAAGTTATCAATGCTGGTGATCTAGTTAAATACGACAAGCACTGAATGGAAACAAATAAGCAGGGCTACTGTTATATTTAATGGATCTGTTAAATGTGCGAGGGATTGTCCTGAATGAGTTATTTTAGAGGGACACAGAAAACTAACTTACCTGACAGAGTCTGGAGTGAGGAGTGGGCTCAAAGTCACGTCGGCAGTTCACAACCCATTTCTTCTTTCGCACAGGGTCTTTGGGGAATCTAAACAGTTGCTTCCCTATGCTAGTTGAATTGGAGCAATTTGGAGCGGAGCAGCCTCCCATCACACGAAGTGAAAAATAAACCAAGCAACAACAAACCAAAACTTAGCAAAGAAATGAGTTGGCTCAGCTGGGGCTTTCTTTAAACCATGACTTTTGGCTGACAACTTTCACCACGTAAAAAGAAGGCAAAGCAAATGTTAAGTCGATATACGTTCAGTGTTACCCGACAATATGTTAGCATAAAAACACACTGTTATAGTATAAAAAACACTTTAATTAGGATAAAATATTAAGGAGTTTGAGCCAAAATGGCGCGCGGCCCTTCGGCGTTTGAGTCCAGTGACGTCATTGTCACGTGTGTCAACAAAAGTGCCTGACTGAAAAAAAATCACTACAAAAAAAACAACAAATAAAATGCGATTTTACAAAACCAAAACCAGACTCATTTTAAATATATATTTTTACTCAAATATTACTGAAATTTTAGTTGAGAATCTAGTATTTTTACCTTCATTTCTAGTCATGCGAAATTTCAATCCCAAACAACTGAGAAGCACGCTGAAATGTTTACGGCGAGGCTCATTGGCGCTACTCGGAAATATGAAGCTGATGAACGTTATCTGAAACCTTATAACAAGTAATTAGCCATATGTAACATTTTTAAAGGCTAAAAACGGTTCATTTGGGCAGTTCCCGGTGTTAACGGAACTTCCATGTAGCGGTTGTTAAGTTTGAGCGAAGCGTTGTAGTTACAAAGTTCAGAGAAAACAATGTCATCTTCGATAGTAGTTCCTGTAATTGATGTCCATACTAACAATTTCAAAGAACTGTGGCCAGCCATGGTGGTTGCAATTAAAACGTCGTCCTTCATTGCGCTCGACACGGTAAGTGCCGCTCCGATCTGAGTGTGATTTCTAACCATGCGTGGCTCAGTTGGAAGAATCAACAGTCTCTGTTGTGCTGCAGGAACTGAGTGGTCTGGGAAATAGGAAGTCCCTGTTGGCTGAGTGAGTGTACTTTTTTCTAATATCATAAAATAACAATGACAATAATACTAACCGATCTGATCAGAGTTGTTTCTCTGACTCCTTTCTTGTTCGTTACAGATCAATAGAGGACAGATACAGAGCAATATGTCACGCTGCTCGCTCTCGCTCCATCCTTTCTTTGGGAATAGCGTGTTACAAGAAACTGGACCAAAAGGTACCTCATATACCGGATATTATGTATTAACACAGAAATGCTTAAACTATGTACTGTGAGTGTGCGCGTTTCTTTTGCTGTTGTGATGCTGGTATGTTGCAACTTACAGTCTAATTATAGGAGAGACATGCAGTTGGTCATGGATTGGAATTTTATCCGGAATTCCAGACTCTGTCCCCGCTGAGGGATACCAAAGGACGTTTCTATGTCCTGAATTTAGGGGCGTCAGAATAAAGGGGGCTTATTACAAATGCTGGCTTCACTTTTACAGATTTTTATCTGGAAGAGACAAGTCCACGTTTCACTAGTGTACACATTTTTGTCCATCGGTCACATCAATCCAAATGAATTAAATTATTGCTTGTGGTCGCACAGATACAAGATGTGCAAAAAGGTCAGGAGTGAGATTAATTTAGCAGGGAAGTTTGTTGACGTAAGAAACGTTTTTCTCCCGTCAGCCTCCAGGCTCCTACCTGGTCCAGGTGTACAACCTCACCCTGCTGTGTTCAGAGGAGTACATCATAGAGCCGCAGTCGGTCCAGTTTCTGGTGCAGCACGGGTTTGACTTTAACAAGCAGTACGGCAGCGGGATCCCTTACTGCAAGGGTAACAATAAGGTGAGGACGCCTTGGTGTCTGTGTCCCTGCTCCATCTAAACCGAATGGTCAGTTGGCTTTCCTCGGCTTCTCCTGGGATTACCTTGACTTCGTTTTCCCTTATGTCTTCTGTTGCACGTTTTCCTGTCTGCAAGGGAGGTTCGGACGACCGTGGGGTCCACATCCGAACTTTGTTTACTGAGCTGCTGCGAGCCAGGAAGGCCCTGGTGCTGCACAACGGCCTCATCGACATGGCCTTCCTCTACCAGGTACAGAGAGCGCTGTTTTGTCTCATTTAAGCTCCAGAACCATGGAGCTATGGGGCTGAAAACAAGAGTCGTGATTAATTGGTTGTTGAAATAATCGCCAAGTAATTTAGTAATCAAATTAATTGTTTGCTGAAAGAACAGCACATTCAGCGAAGGAATTAAGCCAAAACTGTCCAAAAAATAGACACATTTTGCATTTTAGATGACAAATCTGCTTTGTATTATGTACCAAGAACTCCTCAAGTAGTCGTAGTTTTATTTTCACCTAGTTGAAATACAGTACAATTCTTCTACGAAGCACCTTATGCTGTCCAATTATTAATTGGGTAATTGAAAAGACAAAACAAAAAACAAAACGTCAACCGATCAGCTATAACTCTGATGTGAAGTGAAGCAGATGAGGTTGTTTAAATATTAATGTAGCTGCAGATACATCCTATGTTATTGCATTTTAGGCAATACAATTTAATTTTCTTATTTTTAGAAAATGTGAGTTTATTTGCATTTTTTAGCATATTTTCAATATTACAAAATAAGCCTAAGTGGCTAAATGAATAATCAGCAGAATGTGCTTTTTTTTAAATATATATATCCACTTACACGATTAATCATCAGAATAATTAATTGCTAAAATAATTAGCTGCAGCTCCTGGCATCATCTCCAACTATTTTTGTCAGTGGTAAAAGACAAACTGTCAGTTATGCATAAATTAGTGAGACTAATTGTTTTCTTTCTGGTGGGATTTTTTTTTTTCGCAAGAGTTTTTATGCCCACCTCCCCGAGCGGCTGGCCACCTTCACAGCCGACCTGTCTGAGATGTTTCCCGCCGGGATTTATGACACCAAATACGTGACTGAATTTGAGCTCCGGCTGACCGCCTCATATCTGGAGTACGCCTACAAGAAATGGTGAGCACACCAGCAAATGAGCAACTCAGGAACATGGTGACCCTTTCATCGGTGACACCGTCTGCTTTTAAAGACGTACAGTGAGACAGTAGACCCGAACGTTTGTTTCTCTTTTTCCATATCTCACCAGCAAGCTGGAAAACAGCCGCAGTGTCACCTCTGGCTCGGCTGGACCTCACGTCCACCTAGAATTTTGCCAGTACGCGGGTGACTTGTCCACCTACGTCGACTACAGGCAATGTCCGGCCATAACATCCATAGAGGGACAGACGGACGTCTGCCAGCGCTTCTCAGTAAGTTTCACTGACTTTCAGCAACCTTTTCAGTTGAAGAATGTTCCAGTTTTCCAAAAATATGGTAATTTAGTTTTTTTTTTTTTACATTTTATTGCTAATTTTTGTGTTGTATATTGAGGTTATATGTACATATATTTATAAAATAGACAAAAACCTAACGTGTACTCGTGAAACGGAAGAAAGATGATATGTTTTGTTCCTCCTTTTATTGTGGAAATCTGAAGAATCTAAGAAGTGTGGCATGCATTTGCGTTCACATACAAAACACCGCGTGTGCTACAAAAACAAAACAGAAACAAGCAAGACCTGAAACACGTAAAGTGTGTAAAAGTTCAGTTTTATTGTACTTTTCCAAGTACAATTTTAGATTTTATTTCGTAAAGCAGGCTTTCAGCTCCTACTAATGTGGATGTTGCATGACTTCATCTAAGTTTACATCTTCTACCTTTTAATCAAATAAAGCAAACCCAACACCGCCACAGTATCTGTTTATTGTCTTTGCTTTTGTTTTTCAGGCTTTCGGCTGGTGCCCAAATGGCACCAAGTGCCCGTTGTCCCACGACACAGACCTGATCATCCTGCAGGACGAGAAATCCAAAGATGAAAAAAGGAAAAGGCGGAAGAGACGGAGGGACAAAAAGGGGGCATCGGATACAGCCGAGGACTGCTCCGCCTCTGACGGCGCCCCAAAGAACAAAGTACCAAGCATGGAAGCGGACGAGGAAGAAGCAGCCCGTGACCAAATGGAGGCGCACGAAAAATCATGCGCCGATGGAAACTCTCGCATGGACGACGGGCGGGACATGAGAGACGACGACGGAGAAGAAAACGGAGTCGGTGGAGCAACGAACCCCGGAGACTCTGCGGTGAGCGCCGGAGAGGGTACCGGCGTCTGTTCTGTGGAGTCCGACGCCGAGGCGAAGAAGAAGGCGGACGCGGGATCGCACCGGGCGGGCTTTGACGCCTACATGACGGGATACATCTTCGCCTACGCGTGCGCGCTCATCAAGAAGGCGGCGGAGCCTGGGCCGGAAGGAGACGACGCCGAGCCGGAGGAGTCCTGGCTCCCCGACTGCGTCAATAAGATCTATCTCAGCGGCAAGGCAGCTCCCCTCAATGTGGTGAAAAGCACCTTCGCCAAGTCATCCAAGGCCCACATTCAGAAGATGGAGATGGTGTGGGGGCAGAAGATGTAGCTCAGTTTCTCTGTAACCTCCAGTCTGTCATTTTATCTCATACAAGACGAGGTTAATATTATTCTTTTTACTATTTTGGCAGCCGTTGGTTGTGTGAAAATTTGAGGAACTCTCTGAGATTGGTTGGTCCAACGAGTCTTATTATTTAGGCAATAAATAATAAATTTATTATATTTATTCACAATAAATATAATATTATTTATTATAAGCTCCTTGTATAAATTCAGCTACAAGGAGCTGAGCGTTTATAAATTTATTAAACGATAAATTTTTTAAATTTATTGTTAAACGATAAATTTATTGTTTAATAAATTCATGTTAATTAAGAATATGATAGATGACATCGTTTCCTTATCACAATTTTCTTTTATGCAGTTACAATTCTTAAAAAAAATAGATAAATATGTTTGGATCAGCAGTCAGTGTTTCATTCTGCTCCTCTGTTTGTCGAATTAAAAACATTGCCTTGTTTATGAAATGAATTTTCTTAAATTCGAGTGCTAACCCACTTAATTATCCAACATTTCCCTGGAAATAAGTTGTTTGGCATTCATGGTTACCACAATGTAGATTTATTACCTCTCATTTCTCTTCGTAATTAAAACCTCATGAACACTCTGAAATCAGTTGTTGTGGTCTCATTTTGTCCAAAAGACTGATATGAATTGTCCAGAATAAAATAAAGAAAATATAAGGTGGCGTGTAATCTTACTCATTTTGTGTCTATTTCAAAATTCGAAGTTGTCTCTTTAGGAGCGTTTTCCACCGCCGTCCGCCAGGGGGCGATAAGCTAAAGACGTCGCTGCTCGTGCTGTAAAACTAAAGGAAGAAGAGGTTTTCCTGTCAGTCGGAAGGGTTCTGTTGTAGCACTGCCTATGGTGATGAATCAACCTGTTCCTAGTGTCTTTTTTTTGTCTTTAAGAAAATGCCTACTTTGGTCCAGGTTCGCCTGCTTTCGGTTTGAGAGACGTTAGCCCGCCGGAGAGCTTTTAGAAATGGCTGCCGACGATATCGACTACAATATTGTATTCCCGGATGCGGGCACGTCAGGTGAGGAATTACAGTTACAGGTGCGCAGTTCGTGTGTGTGTAACCCGTACAGTTCAGCAGAGCTGCTGAGTGTGTGGTACCGTTACTGTGTGTTAACGCGCTGCTGTGTTTTGTGTGTGTGTGTGTGTGTGTCTCGTCCTGGTTTCAGAGAGACACTGGCCAGGGACAAAGGAGCCAGTTGTGATCCTGTTGGGCTGGGCTGGGTGCAAGGACAAACACCTCTCCAAATACAGCTCCATCTACAATGACAAGGTCAGTGTCAACGAGATTAGTAAAGCCACAGCGGACTGTGGATTATTCCAGATTACTACATTATAAGGAGGTGTCTTTTTTTTAAATTGTTTTCTTTTCCCACTATTAATTGCACAATGACTGCAGTACAGCAGCCGGATGATGGAAGATTGAGTTCACTCGACAAAAATATGATCGATGCCTGCCAGTTACAGTGTCAGTATGTAATCTGAACCCACGCTGCGGAAGTCCACCTGGAAACTTTCTCTCTCCCTCTGACTGCTGAGCATTGAACTTTTATAACCTCTTCGTCTTGCTGACCAAACGGTGGGGATGCTGATGCTGTGGGCTTACACTTTTATCACAATATTTGGGCGTACTGTTGTGTTCACGATTCACAATCACAAATACTGCCCTTGAGAAACAAACACATTTGTTGCTACGGAATTTATAGCAACAACAATAAATCCAAAAAACTAAGATGTTCCCTTCTGTGATGTCACCAGAGCCAAATGTGTTTAGAAACTTATATAAGGGTGTACGGGTGGGCGATACAGACTAAAGGTTTATCAAAATATGCTGTGGTACTTTTGCAATAACAAGTGATGATAAGAATATAATATTTCTTTTTAAGTATTTATTAACGTGACTGCACAGCACAATTAGAAATACTGCTCTTGAAAATCATTTGTCATGCATTTCTTTAGGACTCTAATCACATAAAGAAGCGCGGCTTGTGTCACCGAAATGCGCACAAGAAGTTTATTTATTGTATCAATAAAAAGTTGTATTATTTATTGATACAACTTTGATGAACAAACTGGAGGAAATCAGTGAAAAACAACAATACAGACAGTTTTTGAAGGGTTTATTGTAACGACAATCAAAATCATATCACAATAAGAAATTTATCACGATTAATGACAAACGATACGATAAATTCCCACCCGTATCGGGGAGGATAGAATTTAATTTTATCAAAGAATTTTAGAGCAAAATTCTATCACTTAAGAAAAAATTGTCCAGAATCTGTTGATCAATCGGAGATGAACGATATCCAGAGTTCGCTTGGTTTGTTTTCACTGAAATATCTAGCGGTTGGTAGCTTCAAAAATTGCTGCAGCATCACAGGAAACTTTGGGTTTCTCCCCCAGGGATGCGTCACCATCCGCTACACCGCACCCCTGAAGACCGTCTTCATCTCCGAGACGTTTGGCTACAAGGAGCTAAGCGGCACTGCGCTCAAGCTGCTGGAGATCCTCTACGACTACGAGGTGGAGAACAACCCCGTCTTCTTCCACGTCTTCAGCAACGGCGGCTTCATGCTCTACCGGTACATCGTGGAGCTGCTGCACAGCGACGAGCAGTTCGGCTCGCTGCGCGTGCTCGGTGCGGTGGTGGACAGCGCGCCCGGCAGCGGAAACGTCCGAGGCGCCCTGCGCGCTCTCACTGCCACCCTGGGGCCCCGGATAAGCCCCGTTTTAAAGTACGTCCTCCTGGCGCTGTTCGCCGTGAGCGTGTTCCTCCTGCGGATCGTGCTGTACCCGGTGACGAAGTTCGTCCACAAGAACCACTACGACGCCGTGCGCGAGCGGCCGCCCGCCTGGCCTCACCTCCTGCTGTACTCTGGAGCGGACCAGGTGATCAGGCACAAGGACATCGAGCTTTTCGCGGAGACCGTGGCAAGAAAGGGCGTCCCCGTGCACAGCTACGACTTCGCCTCCAGCGCCCACGTCTGTCACTTCCGTGATTTCCCTGAGCAGTACTCTCTCAAGTGCCGTGACTTCCTGGTGGCTTGCATGAAGGACTCCGAAGGACCCGAAACGAAAAAGAGACAACACGTGCAGAGTCAGTGAGGCTTTGCTCTCCTCCGAGGTCGGAGATAATATGACTATTCGGCTTTTTTTTAATTTACTTTCTGTGGTTTGAAAAATCCAAGAAACTGCAAAGCTTTCTTCTCATGACTTCTGCTACATGTCAATTTAACGTCCCAAGGCACTGTAAGGGAAACTTCCACTTGCCTAAATTAGTTTATTTCATTAAGATAAACTCATTTAAACTAGTTGAAATATGCCAGTATGACATTCCCACAGTAGGATAACCTTAAAAACATGACAGTATTTATACTCTCTCTCTCTCACACACACACACACACACACACACACACACACACACACACACACACACACACACACACACACACACACACACACACACACACAAAAGAATCATACATCACATTTTGTAATTGCCTTTGCTTAAAATACTGTAGAAAATTAATTTGTTATAGATTCAAAAAGTGAAATTTATATCTGGATAGGCGTATCAGATTTGACAATATTTGGTGCTATTTATTGCAATTCCGACAAAAACTAAAGCTTAAAGTCAGTCACTGTTTTTGCTGTTGCACACAGTTAGCACTGCTCTAAATATAACACATACACACTATAATATAAGCCAAGTTAGCTGTAGTAAGCAGGCCAACTGTAAGGCTAATCACCATGTGATAATTGTATTCAAACATATTTTCTAATGCATATTTATGGATGCCAACAGTGAAAGTTGGAGTTAGGATTTTTCCCACTGTTTCACAGAGGGATCTATTTCAGGGATTTGTTTCTGCTAGTTTAGGTGACAGGCACGAAGCACCACACTTTTTTTCTTCCACTCGATTTTCCATTAGCTTGCCGGGATACATCACAGTGCGAGCAGGCAGTTTTTTCATTGGCTTTTTGCGGCTTGCCCTCCTTGTGGACGGAGTCAGTAACCTAATCCCGTCAAGTCGTCACTCGCATACAGCATTTTGGTGCTTTTCTCTCTTTGCGAATAAGTTTTGGCTGATTGAAGCTGTGGCGAATTGTCATCAAAGTGACCAGAAATAAACACTTGACACGTATCCCTCTGTGCAGAAATGAATTTGTATAATTAATGAGATTCATTTACTTATTCAATGACTTAAAATTCCTTTCTAGCGATAATTGAAATCACTGAGATGCACCTGTTCTGTTAAGTTTTGTACCACATAAAGTCTTTTTTCTTTTTCTTTTTTTTCCAGATTAGTTGCGACAAGCATTGAGATGCCTGCTTGTGGCAACTGGAAAAAAAAAAAGCAACTAAAGTCTTCTAGGCTAATTTATTGCTGTGAAATGTGATGCATTGTACATTATCAGTCGCCAGGCAGTCTGACACAGATGTGACTGCCTGTTCGGTTTTGTCTATTTATGAAATGTAATTTATGATTTCCTACTAAAATAAGGGTGCTTAAGTGATTCATGCGAGTTCGTCCTTTAGACTTGGCGCTGCCTTACAGAACTTGTGTCCAAATCAAGTGAAGTCCACCTAATGTGTGATGCAGATAAATGTAGTCCAAGGACGAAGCCTAGTGACGATGAATGTATGTGTGAAGCACAACCGATATGCTCACTTTTTAACTGATGTGCCTTCAATAAACCAGAATGCTCTCAGTAAAAAGTCTCTTACCTCTTTTCATAAGATTCTTACTTTATTAGGGTCAAAATCAGCAGCAAAAATGGCACCTGTCAAGTTGTGAGTGTTTTGCTTCCAGAAACTCTGAACATCAACAGAATATGCAGTTAAAACCTTCTTATCTATAGGTGGGTTTAACTAACGAAGCCAGTTTAACATCCTGTAAAATCGTAACGCATGGAAAGAACTTTGAATTCATTCAAAGCAAAACTACACATGAGATTCGAGAAGAAATTTGTCGCTTTGCATATGGCTCCCTCTGGTGGACATGTGTCAGAATTTCTGTTTTAAAATCCCTACAAGTGTTTTTTGCTTGGTCTCACTGTCTGGCAATGTAAACCAAATGACTCAGTTGTTTTTTTGGGTGTTTTTTTTTTTTTTTTTTCATGTGAAATATATATCGGATTACGACGAATTCGTGGCAAGCTTTGTTTGTTTTTACCAGATTTGTCTCTTTTCTTCCCTTGCCGAGCAAAAAGCGCATCACTTCAATCCAGCCACTTCACCTGCTCTGCTTTCATGAGACACTGAGGACCATTAGAGTTGTGTGTATTGTGTGTGTGTGTCTGGAACAACCCAGTGGCGATGGCTGCTGAATGTCTGTGTCTGTCAGGCTTGACATTTGGAGGAGCAAGCAGGTTGGCATTTGCCTCCGCTCCCGATCTGGCGCTGGTACTTCATGTATCATGAGGAGGAGCTCGGAGGGCCGAAGGAAGATGGGGGGGGGGAAAGTTTACATATCGGCACAGACTCCTGAACTGCACATTAGACGAGCTGTAGTCCTTCAGTGATGTATGAATGAGGCCTCAAAAACCTTGCAGTGCTAAGTCGTCAATGCAGGAAGAGGTCATTTCTT